GATGGGTTATTTGTTCTGTTCAGAAATGTAAACCAGCTGAACGCAGAACAGATTTCGTAATCATGGTGGTGTGCGTGTAGCAGTTGGAAGATTTCATAATTAGCCGCTTACATAATGCAAAAACGCATTCTTATGGGCACATCTCATTGATTTGTATCTGCATTGATTCAGTGTCAATTTCTATAGTCACATTTTGTTCCGAAGCGGATTGATGACTGCCTTGTGTGCATTAATTAGAGGATAGCATGTCAAGCACTGTGCGATCAAGGAAGAACAAGAAGCAGCATTATTAATTACTATCATAAGAACGGTTGAATGCAATAGAAAATACACTAGAACTGAAGTGAATGTTTGAACTTGCAACAGCTCATCAGCTGTATTCATGGATCAGCAAAGAGATTCGTGACGATTCGATCGACGGAAACGATCGCAACTGAGAAAACTGTTTGCGATTGTTGTTCACTCAAAGGTTTTGCGTGAACTCTTGAGTTAGTCCAAAAATGGATTGTATTCAAGAAAATTTGATGGAAGGAATGAGTAGCTATTTGGCCAAGTATTTTTACTAACAATAAGATTTTTATCAGTATACGGATGGAATTAACGTTCCATTTCTAATTGGTCGCTCGAAATGTTTCCATTTTCCATTTACAGACTAACCATATTCTCATTTTCGGATCAAACACATTTCATCTTTCAGCACGATGAACTCGCTCTTGTTGTGCACAAAAGGTCCGCCATGCCACTTTGTAAGTTCATTTCAAATTACCTCATGGTCACCTATTTTAGTTATCGATCCTCAGTAAATCCACAAAGCTTAGTCATGAGATACAACAGACAGATCGATTCGTCCTAATAAACTCACATTTAAGAGAATCATCTGATAGTAAACGTCTTTATCATCAACATCATATTCTTCNTGTCTGTTTTGTTTGCAGCAAGAAGTGCGTTCGATAGAAAACGAAGCAAGGCGGTGGTGATGCCAAGAGGTGCACGGCTTTTGTCTGGAGTTCGACGAAAGCGAGAGGTGCTGCTCGATGAGGCACCACAATCAGAAAGTCTTGATCGACAGCTCGAGGGTACTGCGCTCACTTTGTTCGGACCAATTGCAGAATTTGCTTCGAAAGAAGATGTGAATCGAGAATTTGCTGATAGTAAACAATCAAGAACCAAATTCGGAACTTTGTCAGGTGGTATTGTTGGAAAAACGTTTGAAATTCCCAAAGAAATATTCCGTCAGATAATTGAGGAGAACACTGAGAAAATTACTGAAAAATAATCAAAAGATTGTGTATTTGTGAGTGATTGGGTTGTGAAGCAATAATGCATCTCGTGAGTTTCATGATGGATACAATGTGCACGCTCATTGCTATGGTTACGCTCATTATGAGTATAATCGAATCAAGATTCTATTATACTCATAATGAGCCGTATCACATGATTAGCTTCCTAGCAATCACTAAAGAGGATCCAAAAGCATTCAAAATAGCGAATATTCATGCGTGAAAGCCACTCTTAACGCGTACAAACATCCAAAGGGAGATTAAGAAATAAAAGACGTTTTAGGCGAGTTTATCGCAAAAAACATAACATAACTATTGCACAAAGGCAAATATATCAAACAAGAGAGGGATTCCTCATCGAGAATATTTATAATTTGCTTATTATTAGAGCTTACGAACTATCCAATTCTACGTGTACTATTCTTTCACTATTTTCCAAACTGAACTCATTTCTTCAGCGCTCAGTGATGAGCAATTGCAAATGCTAGCGAATATTGTGCAAAATAAGCTGGATCAGTACGACCCGACAGTGCCGATTGAATCGTACCGAGTCGTCGAGCTCCCACCTGAGATGTTCGTCAATTCCATTGCCAATGGTCGGGATGGTGATGTCGATGGAATGATCGGTGATGATGACGATGGCTCTTATGATGAGAGATTCAGAATGCCGTTAGTCGCCAGAATGCCAACCCGAATTCCTTCAGAGCCAGCCGTTGTGGTCATTCCAGAGGATGAGTTGCAGAACCTAATCGATGCCCAACAGCAACAAGACGACGAACAATTTGATGACGAACCTCAAGTAGTTATTTCCCCAAATCCTTTGCATTTGTACAATCATTATGATTCAGACTTAGTTGACCGATCGAAAACCCGTTAACTGCAGAGATCAACTCGGAGAGCAAACTGCTGAGATCTACTAAAAAACAATCACTAAATAGGATCCAAAAGCATTCAAAATGGCAAGTGATCATGCGTGAAAGCCACTCTTAACGTACACAAACATCGAAAGGGGGCATATCAAAAAAGAGAGGGATTCGACGAATACTGCTGAGAATTGCTGAGGTCAATCCAGTTCCCATGAAAGCAAAACTTCTTCACGTTTTTTCTCATGAAATTTTCAAGGCTAACAGATACCCAGTTTGGTAAAGTGTAAAAATCTCAGATTCCATTGAAACTTGTGTGATACTTTCTATTCATTCATTCATTCATTCATTCAATTCCTTCATTCGTTTCCTAAAATTTCATTGATTTGAATGTAGTTGTATCTAACTGCCAGATAGAGAACGGAGAGGTTAGAGCAAATAAATTTCGTTTGATACATTATTTATAATGGATGATTATCTCATTAAGTGGATTAGTTAACTGGAACCATATGAATGCAGCTGGGTATAGTTCTCATGGTTGATACAGGCTCGAGAAAGATTCAAATTCCCAGGACATTATTATTTATTGTCCATGGATCGGGATTGCTCTCATGAGGCTCTGTTCACTTCGTAAAAGGAAGTATGAAAACAAACTGACTTTAAAAAATACTCTACTAATCGAAGGCAAATAAGCACTTCATTAATGATCTCGGTAATGACAATTGTAGTGATGATACTAAGTATATGGCTATTCAGTGCTATCAGTTAATATCTGTATCCATCTAAACTCTACCTAAACTCTTCAAGTTAATATCTGTATCCGACCACCTCAATGATTTCTTGATCGATATGAAATCAGAATGTAAATAGGTAGTTCTACGATTTCCTCAATTGACAGTTGGCTTGAAATCCAGCATTTTTATCCGCTGTCACCTGTTAGGAAGCAGTTTTGATATCGTTTCTTTGAAAGTTGTTGCATTTTCAGCTAGTGATTACACCTAATGAAGAAGAGTTATCGGATGTTGTTCCGATCGATGAGGCTTTAGCAGATGAACTGGAGTTACGCGAGAGGATAGCCGATCTGGCGGATATCCTTAACGAACGAGCTAATCGAGGGATGTGATCCCGCTGACTGGACGACTGGAATAAGAAAGCGTCTTCGGAAGAAGCTTTATTCTGGTAATTGCAACGGTTTTGATTGCTGGTAAAGCTGAACTTCCGAATTCCAGGATCCGCTGAGCATGAGACTGCATTCCAAGATTTATTATCTTCTATGCTGTTCGAATCAATTCATACTAAAACACTGAAGTTACTGATAACTAACTATAAGTTTCATTATCAGACACGTTCTTCTTTACACTATAAACTATGTTTTTTGCTGTTAACTTATATTTTATTTTTATTTACTGTGCCCACATATGATGAGAAAAGAACAGACTCACTATCAGTTGCTTAGTTGCAACATTGGTAAAAATCGTGGTCACCTAATTCATATGGAAAACTGATGAATTCAGAGTGTAATTGTTATTAAAATTTTCTCATTCATGACCGCTGTTTCATTAATTATTAGTCATCGAAAATATCGTATTGATGCCGAGAATTTCTTTTCATATTTTTAATTAGCTAACTTATTGAATTTCGAGAGAAGGCATCAAATGGCCAAACGCAATTCATGCATGATGACGGGATGGGATCAGTGTTCTTTCGAGCGTATCCTGGAATTCGGAAGTTCAGCTTTACCAGCAATCAAAACCGTTGCAATTACCAGAATAAAGCTTCTTCCGAAGACGCTTTCTTATTCCAGTCGTCCAGTCAGCGGGATCACATCCC